GGGGCAGGGGTCCTTTGGGTTGCGTTAAATTGCTTGCCCGTTGGCACATTGCAGACCTAACCCCCCCATCCTGGGGAGAGGGACACGGGAGCCGCCGGCAGTTGCCAGCATGGAAGAAGTCCCCTCCCCGAAGGTGGCCCAGCACCACCAAGCGTCACTTCGCTTTGCCCTTCCAGGGTGCAGAATTAGGGCTGTCTTGGTGGCTCTGTGCTCTCCTCCCTTCTATTGCCTCCTCAAGGTGAAGCTGCAGCCTCCTCCAGCACACTGGGGCACCTTGGGGAGCATGTTGAGAGCTGGAGCCAACGCAACAGGCACCCTGCCACGGGCGGAGAGGAGAGGGCCCCCGAAGCAGAACGTGGAGCTGCACAGGGCGAGTCCTGCGGCGCAGGCAGGGCTTTGGCTCAGCCAAAGGCGCTGAGGACCCCAAGGTGGGGATGGACGTGCAGGTACCCCGTCATTGGGTGTAAACCTCCGACTCTTGGGCCGTCAGAAGCTTCTGAATGGCTTTTTAAAAGCAATGTTTTGCAATACCTGAGCATTGACTTGGCGATGGAGGGGAGTGGTGGCTCAGAGCACGGTTGAGAAAATGGTTTTAAGCAACTTGGACACCTCGGAGAGGAGGTCAGCATCGACCAGGTGGCTTGGGAGAGGGTAACTCAGAAAGAGGGATCTGAGAGCAGAGCAGTTGGGGTTCCACCACGGAGCATACCAGAGCTGTGACCACCTCTCCCATGTGCTGGGAAACAGCTGACTCAGTGCTGGAATAGAAATGTCAACATCGCTTCCTCCTAGGAGCGGGCCAGTCATCCCGACTCCCACCCCAGCTTCTTTCTGCTAAACCCGGATTCCTTTGGTTCAATGACACTTGTAATTCCTTGGAAATTCCCTGGCAAAATCTGACCTGCGCAGACCCTGCTGGGTTTGAGGGACAATGAGGGGGTAATGGTTTTAAACTAAAACAGGGCAGGTTTAGACTAGATCTAAGGAAGAAATTTTTTCCAATGAGGGTGGTGAAACACTGGAACAGGTTGCCCAGAGAGGTGGTGGAGGCCCCATCCCTGGGAACATTCCAGGCCAGGTTGGATGGGGCTGTGAGCAGCCTGATGTGGTTCAAGGTGTCCCTGCTCCCTGCAGGGGGGGTTGGGCTGGGGGACCTCTAGGGGTCCCTTCCAACCCAAACCAGTCTATGATTCTATGACAACCTGAGGCGGGGGGGCTGCGAGCCACAGGCTTGGCTCTCTTGATCTACATGGCTTGGCTTGGCTAATACTTGAGTATTGTACGCAAAGCACGCTGTAAAAGGGGAGAAGCAGCTGCCCTTGGGGAAGGGTTTTCACTGCGAAGGGAAATGGAGGTTAAACCTGGGGGGAGGAGAGGAGGGGGGATGAGGTTGAGCACAATTGCAGCTCGCTAACGACCTGCCGCGCGTCTGGTTCGGCACCTACAGGCGGCCTCGGCAGGGTCGGGGCATGACAACGCGACCTCGGGAACTTCGGGGGCCAGAGAGTCGCTTCTCTACATAAGGGGTATTTGAGTTTTGCTTTCCTGATGGTAAAAATCTGCGAGGGGCTGAAGGTGCCGGAGGCAGACGAGGTGAGACGAGCTTGCCCTCCGTCCCGGAGGGTCCCATCGTCACAGACGTATCCCGTAGCAAAAATCCGCTGCTTATTTTACTGGCCTGGAGTCAGCTTGATGGCGACATCGAAGTCAAAAGCCTTTTGGATCAGGTTTTAACAATCAAAAGTTGTTTATGAAAAGCAGGAGAGGATCGGAGGGGGGGGCCTGCCCCCTGCGCTGGGCTTACGTACCTGCAGGGGTTATTCTGCAGGGCGCTTAACGACGGGCCCGTGGCTTCTCCTCTTGGCCAAAGGCTCCGTTTCCGCAGCTGGGTCTCTCGAGCGTCTTTTGCTTAAGAACCGAGAGCGTCTTCCAGCATCTCGGCGACTCGGGAGCAGCGCGGCACCTGCCTGCGTGCTGGGGCGAGGAGCGGGAATCGCTTCGGATGCAGGGGACTGTAAGCGCACAGCGCGTTTCCCGGCATCCCGTGCCCCTGTTTAAAAAAAAAAAAAACCAAAAAACCAAACAAAAAAACTCCCAAAAATTCATATTTCCGGGCAGTGCCTCTCCTTAAACATGAGAAATGAGGTGGTCAAAGTATTGCAAAATCATTCAAGTAAGTGCTGGCAGCAGATTCCTCCCCCCAGCAGATTCTCCCCCCGCCGGGAAGAAGAGCCGCGGCCGTACGCTTCGCACGCCACCGCCGCGACCTCCTGCGCCGCAGCGATTCGGTGCCGTAGCCAACACCCACACCTCGATCCTCGCTGTTTGGGCTTGACGAGCCCCAGCTTCAAATGCCTGACAGGTAGGGTAGGGTAGGGTAGGGTAGGAGCTTTTCCTCCTCTTCCTCCCCCTTGCCCTCCGCTGGGTAAAGAGTTCAGGGCCGGCTGGTTTTCGTGACAGAGGGTGGCCCACGCGTGGCATCTCTGCGTCGGGTCCCGCGGCGGCTACGGGCAGGTAGGGAATGATACAGGGGCGAGCAAAAAGCCAGCGGTGTTTCAAACACGCAGCAGGATGGTGAGCGCAAAGGGCTTTTCCTTTCTGAGTTGATGATTCCAGCAGCGGCCTCACCTATTTTTTGGTGGGTGGGGGCCAAGAAGAGGGGGGAAAAACACAACCAAGGCACAGGCGGGTTTACACGGAGCCCAAGGGGGGGAAGCTCACCCTGAGGCTTCAACTCAAAAGGACTGCTGCTGCCTTGGCTTTGCGCCGGGCCCCGGGGGTCGTGCCGTGACCAGAACAACCCTCGGGTGCTACAGGAGACCCCAACGTCCTTTTTCAGGACCCACGTTTCCCCGATGAGGGCGAACATCAGCACAGGGAGGTGGAAAATGGTTTCTGCCACCTTACCCTCCCCCCCAAAATCCATAAATCCAGCCTTACCAATTGGTAAAGCCTCTGAAGGAGACGAATTGGCTGCGGGTAAATCCTTGTCATTTGGAGGGGCTTTGGACCATCCCCAAGCCCCTCGGGGTGGCCGCAGGCTGCTGGCACTGCCATAAGCACCGTTTTAGCTTGTGGGGCTGTTTCTGTCCCCCCCTTGGGGACCATCTAGAGCTGAAGACCCTCTGATACAAAAGCCAACGCTGTTGGCTTTGGCTGGACCTTACCAAAAAAAATCGCTTTGTGGCCTCAGTGATGGGGTAGCAGCGGAGGTGTGCAAGGCAGCAAATAGCCCCCCCGTGTGTGGGGGGCTTTGTGTGCCGGCGATCCAGGCCCAAGGAAAGAGGGAATCTCCCTACAGCTGTGGGGCACACAGGTGCTATACAGGAGCTGAATTTAGGGGGGGAAAAGGTTGACGCTGGAGATGGGCCATGTCCCATCTCAGCGAAGCAGCTCAGCGTGCAGTCGGAGCCTAATTCTGGGTGCCCAAAGCCTCTTTCCCCTTCGAGCAGAGGTTTGGAATGGAGAAACACCTTCCCCTGGGTTGCTCTGTGGAGGTGTCCCTGCTCCCCATGCCACCAGTGGGGTCTGGGGGCGTGGGGGAGGGGTAAGAAAGCCCCCCCCAAACCTTCCCAAACCTCCTTCCACACCCAAACCAGAGCAGGGAGACTCGCTCATGGCTTCAAACTGATGGGGCCCTGGCAACTCATCCTTAAGTGCTTCTTAGGCTCCATCAGCATGACCCCCCCAGCCTCCCTCAGCCCCCCCGTGGCTTTCCTTGACCTTGGGAAGCGCGTTGCCCCCCCCAGATACCCTCACCCAGTGCTAAAGTAAATGAAGCAAATTACTCCTTGCTGCACCCTGGGGGCAGAGGGGGTCTGGTCCTTGCAGGGAGATCCCTGTGGGGAGGTGGGATTTGACCTGTTTTGGGGTGGGAGAGCTCAGGGGGCTGCATCCCTGCAGCTTGGGATGGGATGGGATGGGATGGGATGGGATGGGATGGGATGGGATGGGAGCTTGGACACGAATGAGGCTTTCAGCCACCCCCCTAGAGACAGCGAGCGGAGCCAGGTCCTGTCTCAAAGGTATTTATTGCTGCGGGGACTTGCTGATGCCCTTCACCCTACGAACAGGGATGCGCCGCGGCAGGAGGGTGCAGGGTCCAAACCGAGGGGGGGCAGCACGGGTGGGACCCACCACCGCCCCCCCCAGCTCAGGGCTGGATGAGCGCCGGGTGCCTCTGATGCACTGTGACGGTGAAGGGCCGCGGCTTCAGCGCCAGCCCGTGGACACAGTCCATGGTGAGGTGCTCCCTCGGGTTGGCGTGGAAGGAGCACTGGTGGAGGAGGATGGCGGCAAAGAGGAAGAGCTGGAGCTTGGAAAGCTGGTCGCCGATGCAGCGCCTCTGGCCAGCTGAGAAGATCATGACACTGCCAGCCCGGTCGCGGTCCAGGCGCTGCTGCGCATCCAAGAAGCGTGTGGGGTCGAAGCGTTGCGGGTCGGGCCACTTGCCAGGGTCATGGTTGACCGACCACTGGTTGATGAAGACCACAGTGTCCTTGGGGATGTGGAAGCCCTCGAGCTCCACGTCATCCGTGGTAGCGTGCGGGATGGTGATGGGCACGAAGCTGCTGTAGCGCAGCGTCTCGTAGATGAAGGCCTCCAGGAGGGGCAGGTGGGGCCGGTCCTCGGCCGTGGGCAACCGGGAACGTCCCACCACCTGGTCCAGCTTGTCCTGGAGGTCCCGCTGGAGCTGCGGGTGCTTCAGCAGCATCAGGAGGACCCAGGAGAGCGCGGTGGAGGTGGTGTCCTGCCCCGCGCCAAAGATGTCGGTCATGGCGCCCTCCACGTCCTCAGGTCCCAGCCCCTCGGGGGGCCTGTCGCCACGCTCCACAGCAGCAATCATGATGTCGCTGATGTCGCGGCGGGCGTGCGGGTCGAAGGTCTGGCGATGCTGTGCCACCTTGGCGCACACGAAGCTGTGCAGCTCCCGGTTGAGGGCTTGGAAGTCGCGGAAGACGCGGCGTACGGGGTTGGGGAAGCGCAGGAGCCAGGGCAGCACGTCCACCACGCTGCCCGCCCCCACCGTCTGCCCGAAGCGGTCATTACGGCTCAGCAGCGCCGTGAACTCGCCGTCGGTGTGGCTGTAGCGGCGACCGAAGCAGAGGGCGCAGAGGACGTTGGCGTTGGCCACCACCAAGAGCG